TCGCGGCCCGGGGGGCCAGGCGGAAGGCCTGGGCTGAGCGCGGGTCCAGGATGGCCCAGCCCGCAGGTCCTGCACCTCGCGTGCTCTGCAGCTGCGCTGGCTTCGTCGGCGGCGCCCTCGAGTCCGACTACGTCGGCGTACCTAGTGTCAGGCTATCAATGCCTGCTCGCCGTTCCGTCGAGGCGCCGCCCTTCCTCCTCTGGGGCCCGCGGCGCCTGCTGGCGCCGACGGCTCCGGCGGGGTGCTCGCCCCGAAGTCCAGGGGCGAGATGTGCCGGCAGGCATTTTCAGCAATCTTGAGCGGCGACTTCGACGAGCTGTTCATCTAGCTGTGCTGCGCGGGCAACTCCGAGCTCTCGGAGAACGCCCCGAAGCGCCTTCGCGATTCGAGCGACCAGCGACCTCGACTTCACGGACGGCACTGTCCTCGAGCATTTGAAGCACTAGACTCCAAGCACAAGATGCGGGTTGTTTTGTGGGGTGCTCTCCCGCGCGCGGCTGGCCGCCCACGGCGGCGCGTGAACGAGTCGACGGGCGCCAAGACAGGCGACGCCAAGCTCACCGACAGGCTGATCTCGCACGGCGTGGCCCTGCGCAGGCTGCGCAGGTGCGCCCGCAACGCGGGCCGGCACTTTTTCATGGAATGGCCGACGCGCTCTGCATTCCAGGCATTGCGCCATGGCGCTGATGAGGGCGGCGGCTTCACTGCCGCCGCCGCCTCGGCTGTCGGCCTCAGCCACACCATCAATGGCAAGGTAGTGTGGGCCCGGAAGAAGTGGTGCATCTACTTCACCGACGCGCACGTCCGCGCGGCGCTCAGCGCGTTTGCCCTCCGACCCGCGCGAGGGCCAGAAGGAGTTCGCGTGGTGCCACGGTAAATCTGCTCAGGAGTCCGCTATCTACACCGACGCGTTCGCGCGAACTTTCTGGCTTGCCAGAGGCGTGGCAAGTCGACAGGCCGCGCCAGCGCCGGGGTTCAGGAGTTTATTCAAGGGTTGCGCCCCCGTTGTTTTTGGCGCCGACGACCGTGGCCACGACGCCCCGGCCCCGTCCTCGAGGCCATTCTGGCGCGCCATGGCCACGCGAGTCGCGAAGCCCAAGAGCGCCGCGGCCGATTGCGAGGAAGCCCGCGCCGCCATCGCCAACGAGAGGCTCAGCATACAGGACGAAGAGTGCGGGATGAGAACGATGTCCACTCCTTGAGGGACCTCCTCCGCTACCCGAAGTGGGCCGAGGTCATGTTTGGCCGGGTGCTCACAATCTTGGCGGTCAAGGGCGAAGAGCTCGGCAAGGAGCATCAGCAGTGGAAGGCCCGCGCGGTCTTCCAGCGGTCCAATGCCCGGACAAGGGCCGGGGCGTCGGCCGCCGACCTCTTCGGCAGTCGCAGCGCAGCCCCCACGACTTGTTCGTCAGAGCTGCGTCTCGCCGAGGCCGCCGACTTCCCCCCCTCCGAGCCTTGCCCATTCCACGCCGCGCTGCACAGCGGCGCCTACCATTCTACATCCTCCCGGCCCGAATCCGCGAGGTCACCGCGCACTTGCAGCGCGTAGTCCTATCCCGCCAGCTCGAGGAGGATGGACGTGGCGAGTCATGATACGAACGCGCATGAGACTCAGCCAGCAGTGGCCCGCGGGCCAGCCGACCTACCACAGGGTAGATCGGACGCGGCTGCTGAGGATGGGGCGTGGTGCAGAGGGGCCTGGTACCAGCGCTGGAGATGGCGATGTGATCGACGACGTTCGCAAGTAGCCTGCATGCGGATGTCAACTACGTTGGCTTCGCGACGACCGCGCCAACCGACGTCAGACCTGCAAGTTCGGCCTCTCCCCAGCGAGGCCCGTCCGATCCGAACGGCTGCGCAGTGCCAGCTCCTGGACGTTCGATGGCCAGGTGCACGAATCTGGAAATGCCGGAATGTTTCTGTGATTGCGGAATTTCCGAATTGTCGATCAATTCGGCATTTCCGGAATGTCTTTTCGGAATGTTCGAAAGTTTGTTTCGCACGCGGAGTGAGACTTTTTTGTCGTATTGTTTTCTTTTGAGGGGGGGAATGCTGTTTTTTTTAGCGGTTCGGAATTTCTGTAATCATTTTGGTCGCAATTGGGAATTTCTGGAACCACTCTGTTTGCGATTCGATATTTCGCGGGTCGCGGGCTTGGCGATCGGACAACTTTGGGTTGACATGTGCGTCTTTGTTCAAATTTGATTGCGGCCGTTCGGGGTACGTGGAATCAGGTCTGACGTCCATGAGGCAGCGCCGGCACCGCACCCTCTACACCGTATCCTTATCCGTCCCCCAAATTCGTCCGAGACGTTGCTCGGGGCTGCGCAGGGTTGCTAAGCTATGCCAAGCACCGCCGACCAATGCCAATTTTTGTGAAGCGATGCGACGTAAAGCAATGCCAGACAATGCCAGACAACAGTAACAAACACTGCCAAACGATGCCAAGGAATACAAAGCGACGCCAAGAGAGCAACGCAAAGCATTGCTACGCAATGCCAAGCAACTATGCCAACCGACGCCATCCTGGGCCCAGCAACTCCTGGCAGAGCCAGGCAACGCCACGCGAATGCCCAGCAGCGACAAGCAACGCCCAGCAATACCAAACAACTGCCCTAAACAGTGGTAAGCGATGCGAAGCAATGCCATGCGGCGCGGCTGTCCCAGGACCGTACGAGGGGACTGCGGGGGGACCGTACGAGAACACCATTCATTCCCCAATCAGTGCTTGCATTGAAAGGGTCCTAGCGGAGATTGAAGCAGTTGGCGAAAGTCAGGGCCGATTTCGGTGGGCGGCTGGGTTCCGGGGTTCCCGGTTCCGGGTTTCTGGGTTCCCGGTTCCCCGGGTTCCTATTCCGGAATCCGGGCCGATTTCGGTGGGGAGCAGGCTTCCCGGGTTCTTGGCCGCTTGTTCTTTATCGATTGGTCTCAACATCGATTTCATGACCCATCTCTCTATCGATCGCCCTATCGACGTCACAATCGATCTCACCATTTGCTTCACTATTGATCGCACGAACAATCGCTCGATCTCACTATTGATCACATTGAATCGACCCTTATATCGGTCTCACGATCGACCGCACAATCGACCTCAATTTCCATATCACTAATTTTCAAACTATCCACTGATTGGATTTTTTCTCAGGTGTACTGTGGGGATCGTGCGGCGGGCCCGCGTGAAGGGGTCATGCGATGTGGCCATATGGGGGGCCACGGTGACGGACCATGTTGGGGAAACATACGGGGGGACCACCACATGGGGGGGGGCGCACCGCCCCTTGCATCCCTTCGCTCTTACCCGCAATGGCGGGCGCCCTCGTCTCAGTTGGCAGCGATGGTGCTCGTTCAGCACTCGCGTGGCTCGCATGGTGTTACTTAAACAGGTGCAGTCGCGATAAAGAGTAAGGCTGGGCTGGGGGAGGGGGATGGGATGGCGCAGGGAGAAGGTAGATGGTGTGGTGGACGGTGGAGAGGGGACGGAGGGTAAAGGTGATGGAAGAGGATGGGTGGTGGAGAAGGCCCCCTATCGAACTTGATGTGCTTGTCACGTCGGGATGACGGCAAGATCCATGACCGCTATGGCGATATCACTTGGTCCAACATCCTCCTCCTCCCACCGTTTCGTCGTCCTTCTCGTCTCGGCCACCTCCACCTCGTCCTCCTCTCGGCGGTCTGCCCTCTGCTGCGCTTCCCCGCCCCTGTGCCAGGAGGGCAAGTCCACGAGAGGATCCGCCTCCCTGCCGGAGGATCGCTTGCGCAGCGGGCTGGCCTTCCCCTTTCCCCTGTCCAGTCAACAGAACACGTGGATCACTCCGCGGCCCCAGTAGTTGCGGCAACGCGATTCCTGAACCTGTAGAAATGATTGAGAGCCCCAGCAGGGTCGGAACCTGCCCGCTCCGCCACCCCCTCCGCCACCTCCACAGAACCCCCCGTGTCCTCCTCACCCGCCTCTACCTCGTCCTTGCTTTCGCCTTTGCTTTCTCCCTTACAGTCAAAATGCCGAGATCTTGGACTCAGGAGGAGCTCTGGTTTTCGGGTCGTTCCTCAGAGATCTCGGTCGGAGAAGCTGTTCTTGGCCGAGGCTCGCCGTGGCCCGACACCACCTTTCGTTCCTAATCTGACGTTCCTTGTGGTAACACGACGACCCCTTGAACCTCCTACCTTCCCCCCTACCTCCTTCCTGCGGGATGTTGGTTACGTTGAGCCAGCAGAGTTGCGGCCGAATCCGCCCGCCGCTCGGCTGTCCTGTAGACACGAGCTGCGCAACAGAAAGCGGGAGACACCAACACAGAGAAGAAACGTGACGGACGAAGTGAGCGGATGAGAGAGAGAGAGAGAGATTGAGAGAGATTGAGAGAGAGAGAGAGAGAGCGAGCGATGGAGAAGAGAGTCCGCCCGGCGCCCTCAGCTTCGGCTCTCACTTCAAGGTAGTTACAGCGTCGACGCGTGATGCCCCAACGCGAGATTTGGCAGAGTGTCCCAGTAGATCCATAAAAAAACGCCATGCCATCAAGGTAGACATCGTTCACGCACTTCAAACATTTGCGGCCTCATCCGTCATGGACACTGAATTCGGGATGCGCTTAGTTGAAGCCTGCGGAAGACCCTGGTTTTGGCGGCCTCGTGTAGATGGTCTAAGTGGGATGCTTCTGGATGAACGGATCGAGGCATGGCGTCATGGTATCAGTTGAGCGAGGAGGCCCGCCGTAGTTGTCCCCGAGAGCACCGCAGGACGGAAGCAGGTGGACCACCAGACAGACCCTCTCCAGCCGAACGACACTCCTCGAGACTCTGACAGCATGAGGTGGGGGATAGGCTCAAGGAGGGACGTATCGACCCCCAATCGCCCATTGATCGCCGATAGGGGCCTGTGATTTGTGTGGGGTGAAGACCCGCTCCTGTTTCACTGGACGGACATGCTGACGTGCAGCGTTGGCGTTTGGGCCCAAGCAAAACCAGCGCCTATCTCTTAGAGCAGTTGCAGCGGGGGACTGGCCGTGATAGCAAGGCATCGGTCGTTTTCGATCGAGTTATCCGAGCTGGACCCGCCCCGACACACTGAGGCTGATCGAGGGAGGGAGCACGAGCGAGAACGAGGTTGGTAGCGGAGCTCCGTGGTTGGCCCCACGGACTCCAGGAGAGTAGCAGAGGGATTCGCCATCCCGACGAGCCATGGCGACTGGAGACACCTGCAGCAGTGCTGTGGATCCGGAGATACCGGTGCTGAAGGGTGAGTCTCTGGAGGACTTTACCAGGCACAAGAGGGCAGTGCAGGCGGCCGAGCTTGGATGTAAGTCTAAGGGGCAGAAGATTACGCTCGGGCCCAAGCTGTACCGCAACTTCCTCGGCGCGGACAATTCGATCAGCGTCCTAATCGGGCAGACGGGCCCGAAGAACTATGCTGTCGAGAAGGGCTCCGAGGTGCTGCTCAAGTTCCTGGAGGCCCAGCCCTTCGCCAGGAGTCGTATTCTAACATCGGGGCTCCTGCAGTAAACGAGCTTAGCAGTAACATATTTTACTGCCATGACTCTCCAGTGCGGTCCATGCTCCTGTCTCTTGCTCCTGATATTGCTTGTGCTCTTTGCTGCACCTCTCGAGGTTCCATCTAGTTGTTATGCGCACGCGCACATGAACAAACATAAACAATCAGGCCACCCGATATCAAGGGAAGGGCGATGCTACTTTTACATTTTGTTGGTTTAATACAACTGCTCGTGCCCGTAAGCAGGCATTGATACCTTCTATATCATGCTATATGATTGGTTCTATGTGAAGACGCATGCGTTCGTATTGCTACTGCTCTGTGCCGCTAAGTGCAAGTGCTCGCCGCTGCCGTTGCAAGTGGGTCTCTGCAACAGAATGCGCGGGTAGCGTGTCTGTCTCCTTCCGGGGAGGCATTTGCAACGTGGGCTGCTAACCGTGGAAACCTCGCAACCACTGATGTGCTAACCTGACCCTGCCGCGCTTTCCAGCGCACGCCTGCGCATGGAGACGTGAAGTTTCAGCCGCCGAAGGCGGCCACGTTCTGGGGGGCGCTGCCAGGTGCGCGCTCGCTGAGAAGTTTTCAAGAACGCGATAACTTTTCTTCCTCTTATGCTTATTCTGCTGAAGGTCTGGCTCTTCGGGCTGCTCGTCTTTTTTTCACTTGGGAACCTTGCGCGATCCCGAGGTGCTGCGCCCGCGCCTGAGGTTGCGCCGCCGCCGCCCAAGCCCTCCTCCGGAGGCAGCCTCGCGTCGGTCGAGCTGCCAGATGGAGAACGGATGCAGCTACCAACGACGTTACAATCGTCATTTTCAGGCTCCTCGCGTCCACCTGCAGGGCCTGACTTCGCCGCTGTCCGCAGCCCTCGATCTGCGGGCTGCTGGGGCACTGGGGGCGGCGGGGGAACGAGGGGCGCAGCTGGTGCCGCTGAGGCTGGGGCCCGGGGTGACGGCGCAGATCCCGACGGGGGAACTGGCGGAATCGCTGGAAGCGATGACGATGGTGGCGAACTTGCTGCGTGCATCTTTTGCACATGCATCTGTTGCATGTGCTGTATCTGCGTGATCTGTCGCAGCTGAACGCGCTGCTGCATGGCCTGCAGCGCGGCGCCCGGGCCGGGCGCCGTCGCCGGCTTGGGGGGGGGCTCCAACCGCGATTGCGCAGGGCGCTGTTCAGCAGCAGCGACTTCATCTGGAGCTCGACCTTCGAGAGACTTCACTGACGAAATCCACTTGCAGCAGTCGGCGGGCGCCCCCCCCCCCTTGCCCTCCACGCCTCCACCGCGCCCGCCCCGCGCCCCCCGCCCCCCGTCCGACGCCGCGCTCCGCGGCGCCGCCCGCCCCCCTGGAAAGGCGGGCAGAGGGCCCTGCGAAGAGGGCGTGCTTGATCTGATTGATTTCTGACAAATGTTGTCTACATATATCGTTTGTATGTATATGCAAGTGGCACGTGTGTGCCCAGGCTCATACAAAAAAGCTGAAGGGGCGTTTGAAGCAGGAGTGAAATGCAACATCGAAGTCGCACTCGAGCGCAAGTGGGGTTGCCACACCTTGCGATGTGTGTACCAGGACCCCCCAGGAAGCCTCAGGAGGCCCGACTTGGATACCAGAAGAGGCTCCAGGAGGCCCCAGGATTGTGAGTGTTGTGCGTGTGTGTGTGTGTGATATATGCTTTGTGTGGTGCGTGCTTTTTGTGTGTTGTAGGTGTTGTGTGTTGTGTGTTGTGTGTTGTGTTGTGTGTTGTGTGTGTGTGTGTGTGTGTGTGTGTGTGTGTGTGTGTGTGTGTGTGTGTGTGTGTGTGTGTGTGTGTGTGTGTGTGTGTGTGTGTGTGTGTGTGTGTGTTATGTTTGTCTAGCGTGTGATGTGTTGGGCGTGATTTGTGTCTCTGTGCGCATGTAGTTCTGAAGCCCCAGGGGGCCCCAGGATGCCCCAGGCGGCCTCAGGAGGCCCCAGGGGACCCCGGGAGGCTTCAGGAGGCCCCAAGAGCCTCCAGGAGGCCGCAGGAAGCCCCAGGAGGCCCCAGGAGGTTTCAGGAGACCCCCAGGAGGCTCCGAGGCGGGGTCTGGGGTGCCAGAAGGTTCAGAAAGCCCCTGGAGGCCCCGGGAGGTTCCAGGAGGCCCCCAGGAGGCTCCGAGGCGGGATCTGGGGCTCGATGTTGGAAGGATTTTTCAAGCGAAACCGCCATTCCCTGAGAATCGGGGTCACAATCATTGAAATTACCATGTGTTTTTGAAGGTTTTATGTTAAAATGTTGAAATTCTCATGTGTTTTTGGACCCTGACGTCACGATCTGCGTGAGGGGTGCCACCGATTTTCAGAATTTCGAGGATGTCCCGAGCGAAACGCCCAGAAATATCGCGGACGCGTGCGCATTAATCGCCTCTGAGCTCTACTCCCTCGGAGAGGTGCGTATGAATTTATATATTTATATATATATATATATATATATATATATATATATATATATGTATATATATGTATATGTATATGTGTATATGTATATGTATATGTATATGTATATGTATATGTATATGTATATATATATATATATATATATATATAATATATATATATATATAATGTATATGTATATATATATATATATATATATATATATATATATATATATATATATCTATACATATATGCATTACATATTTCTTAAAATGCCAGCGCTGCGCCGTTGTTCGCCTTCTTCCGCTTGATCGGCTTGCCCCCTGGCGCCGCGGGGCCGTGGGTCGACGCCATTTCCAGGACTATGTTGACAGTGTTGCCAGTTCCTCCAGCGCGCGCCCGGGCGCCCCCGCCTGCGTCGGCGTCGCCCCGGAAACGCGCGCGCTCTTGCGCGGCCTGGCGCGCGAGGGGCGCGCGGCCAATTCCGCCTCCCACGCGGCCCTCGGGGCCGCCTTTGTTGCGGCGTTTTGGCCCGTTCCGCGAGACAATCCGCATTGGCTGGGGCGCCCGCTGCTCGCCCTGCCGCGGGCGCCCCCGAGCGCCGCTGCTATTGGCGAAGATCCAATGCACCTCATTGAACTCCTCGCCCCCCCCTCCTCGTCTTCTCCCTCATCAAAATTAAGAGGCGGGCCCTGGGGGCCGCCGCCCTCCGGCGGCGGCGGGGGCTCGCCCGGCGGGGCGGCGGCCGCGATCGTCGCCTGGCCCGCGCCCTTTGTCTCCCACAGAGTCAGCTGCTAATGCCCTCTTTCTCTTCCTGCGACCTCCCCTTCTGCGACTGCTGCCGCCGCCGCCACTGCGACCCCTGCAAGTGCCGCCCCTGCCCCGCGCCTCCACGGGCGACGGCGGGGAGGCCGGCGCAGCTGTCGCCGAGGGCACTGCGAGCGGCGCCATCTGCGCCGCGGAAGCAGTTGGAAGAGAGGAGCTCGACAGTCAACCTCGCCCCCGCTGAGTGCCTTGCAGACGTCGAAGCTGCGCGCGCGCGGGGAATTCCGAATCCGACCTCACGAGGAAAGGGCCCAAACGAATTGCTTCAGTGCTAAGAACATGAGAACGTCCAGACTGCGCTCGAAATGCGACTTGGAGAAACTACTCGCGTGTGAACTATTGTACTGTTCACGCACATAAGGATTGTAACGCAATCGTATACGTATATGTATACACATGTACATATATATATATATATATATATATATATACATGCCAGGCCCACCATTGCCGCGTCCGACCGCGCCGCCGCGAGCCGAAGCCCGAATGCGCCGCGGCGACGCCGTCGGAAACGGCGCGGACAACAGCGCGAAAACGAGGACAACGCGCCGACGCGAACGCGAAGCCCGACGTCGCGAGAACGGAGCTTGGCGGGCGCGAGCACCGAGGAGGGGGGGGGGCCTAGACTGCGCCTGCGCCGTGGCAGCCCGCTGCGGCCAGCCAGCCACGCCCGCCCGATCGCTGGCCCTGGGCTGTCGCAGGGCAGGGCGCCTAAGCGTCGCGGTGTCCCGCGCAGGAGGGTGTATATATATATATATATATATATGTATATATATATATATATATATATATATATATATATATATATGCAGATGCATATATAGGTAAACATGCACGCACATACCCCCCCCCTCCTCGGGGGGGCAACAAAAAAATAAAATAAAATAAAAAACACGCCTCGCGCGCCCCCCCGCGCAGGGGGTCTTCTTGCAAGCGACGCATGGCAATGCGCTGTCGTTGCGTCGGTAGTTATTCGAGGTCGCGGTGATGGATGATTCGCCCATTTCCCGCGCCGGGCGCAGAACTTGCGTTTGCGCCTCACGGGCGACGCAGATGGCTGCGCAGCTGGGCGCTCGCGAAGCGAAACAAAGACTTCCATATTCTTGGGCGACGGCCTTCTTGCGCGGGAGAGGAAGCTCCGCCCTGTCGGCCACAAACGCCATTCGAAACGCATTCGATGCCGCGAGGGTTCTAACTTGAAGCTGCCGCGCAACGTAGCGATAAAGATGCAATGCGCAGCATGGATGGCATGATATGATGCGCGTGCGTTCTACATATTGGCTGACAAACGTGCGCTCGCATCCCGAACTTCTCCTCCAGCGCGCAGGCCATCCATGCCGACGCGTCCTCTTCGGAAAGTGCCTTCGTGTCCATAGAGGTCACTGCTTCGCGGCCGACTGCCCGCACGGCGTCCACGTCGCAATCTTTGTAGCGCGCGCCCCCGCTGGATGCCGCCTGCCGCGTCGGCTCGACCCTCTGGCGCGCTGCAATGCTGCTGGGAGCTTCGTGAGACATCTCCACGTGTATCCAATCCCGTGGCTGGCTGGCCTTTTGCCTGCAGTCTTCATTGCTTTCGCCGTGCCCTGCTCTTCGCCATGGCGCTCCCCTTGCCCTCCGGCGCAGCCCCCGCGGGCCCCTCGTCCTGCTCCTCCTCCATGTCCTCGTCCTCGTAGGCGCCCTCCCCGCGGGGCGTTGCCTCGGCGGCGGCCTGGTCTCTGCCCCCGGCGGCCCGCGAGGCCAGCGCGCGCTCCTCCCCATCGAGCAGGATGTTCGGCATCTCTGTCGGCGGGAAGTGGCCGTCTCCGAGGTCCGCCTAGCAGAAGCCCTTCTCGCCGCGCACTAGGGGGCGCGCCTGCCCCCGAAAGGCGCCTTCGATGGCGTGCGCGAAGCACTTGCAGTCCACGTGTCCGGTGGCCCCCTCCTTGTCCTTGCGGGCGCGCGCAGGCGCCGTCTGCGCGCGCGCAGGCGCGTGTGCATGCATGTCTTCATGTGCGCGCCATATACACACGCATGCGCGCTACGCGCCCGCGGCCACGCGCGCGCAAGTCAATGCGCGCATCTGCGCACGCGCGGGCTATGTTTGCATAGTGTAAATCGGCACATAACGAAATGCGCATGCGCGCGCATCTCTGCGCGCGCGCGACGGAAGCAAAACGCGCGAGGTATACTGTATACTCGGCGGCGCTCCAGCAGGTGCGACCGCGGACGCGTGACTGGCCAAAGCAGGTTAGCAGGAGTGGGCGATGCCAAATCCACGCATGTTCGCGCCTTTTCCTTCTTCTTCTTCTTCTTTTTCTTCTTCTTCTTCTTCTTCTTCTTCTTCTCGGGCGTCTTCTTCTCGAGCCCGCGCCGCGATCCCCCCGCGCGCGCGCCGGGATGTCCGCGCCGGTTCTCGGGGGCGCTGCCGCGTCAGAAGCGCGCGGGGATGGGGGTGGCGACGGGGGCGGAGATGGATCTGGCGCAAGGGTCATTCTCGCCGTGGGGATCCTGGCGTGGGGGGAGCTCTCTCGCCTGTCGCCAAGTTGCGGACCTTGCCGCTCGCGTAGCTCACGGCGCGCGAAGTCGCTCTCGCGCGCTTCTGCGCCCGCTTCTTCCCGAGCGCCGTCGTGGCCGAGATGGCTCTGGTCAGCGGCGCGCGGCCAACCTGGCGGGCAACGCTCGCCAAGGATCCCAGCAGGCCCACGTTGTTCTTGCTTGACTGCATTGCGTCGCCCCGGTCCGCCCTCGCCGCCTCGATCTCCGCGGCGCGCTCGAGCGCGATGGCCTGCGGGCCCTCGCCCGCGAGCTCGCGCCTCGCGCGGGACATGGCGGGCGATCGAAATCCCGCGCCTCGAGCTGCGACGCGGGCGCGCGCGCTTCGAACCGCGACGCCCACGGAAAGCAAGCGTCAGTTTGCCCGGGTTCCGCCCGCCTCCTCCTCGAGCAAGCGATTGCCGCTGACCTCGCGTTTTCTTTCGCGCAGCCTCCTCCGCGGGAGGCCTTTTTTGGGGGTGGGGTGGGGGGGGGGGGGGGCACGGCGACAACGACGAGAAACGATGAATGGGCGGATGTTCGGATAATGGGATGGCGCGCCCACGTGCGCGAGCGATCTCCATGGAAAATATCAGCGCGAAGCCAATGTATTCGTCGCCCCTAATTAGGGCGGAGCCAGCGTTGATCCGAGCCAGTACTACTTCGCACGTACGATTAGCGTTGACAGCTAATTTGCACGCGTCGGAAGCTCATGGGAGGGCCTCTGAGAGCCTCGTTGGGCAGGCATCCCGGGCCAGTTTTTCTGAGGATGTCCCGCGCGAGGGCGCCCGTTTGGAATTCGTCACCGGATTCGCCCGATTTCGCCGGGTTTCCCAGATCTCGCCTCAAACGGAACAGGCAAGCCTTTGAGAGCCCCGTTGGGCAGGTTCTGGGGGATGGTTTTTCAGAGGATGTCCCGCGCGAGGGCGCCGGTTTGGAATTCATCGCCGGATTTCGCCGGATTTCTCGGATCTCGCCTGAAACGGAACGGGGGGCGGTCGGCGGGGCCACTGCCTCGCGCGCCGGGGGTCAGGATGACGTGGCATGGCGTTTAGCCATTCGCAACAAATCCTCTCTGACATGCTCTTTCTACCTGTCCTCTGCACGCAGGCGTTGTGGTGTGCACCAGCGCTACGTTGCACTCGTATGCTGTGGTGTAGACAGGAGCTGTGGTGTGCACAGGCGCTGCAGTGCACGCTAGCACCGTGGTGTACACAGGCGCTGTGTTGCACATGGTTGTTGTGGTGTACACATTCGCTGTGGTGTACACCAGCGCTGTGGTGCACGCAAGCAGCGTGGTGTACACAGGGGTTGCGTTGAACACGGCTGTTGCGGTGTACGCAGGCGCTGTGGTGTACACGCGCGTTGTGGTGTACGCGAGCAGTGTGGTGTACACAAGCGCTGTGGGGTAGATCGCCACCTACATGCTGTTCGCGTCGTCGTCGTCGCTGGTCGCTCGTCGCTCATCGTTGTCGTGCGCGCGGGCGTTCCTGTGGTGCCGGACCCACTCGGTGGGGCGGGCGTTATGTCATACCTCCCTCTGACGCCTGTCATTGCCGAAAATCAAAAATTTCGCGTTTGCTGCTGTGTTCTAACACCTTTTACGAAGGGCCACGAGAACCTCGCCCTCGCAACGTAAGTTTCCAAGCTACGCAGGCCTTCCCGAGACAGGCATGGCTGCTGAGGTTGATCGAGGGGTCGCGATGGCTACAGCCCAGGCGTCGGCCAGCCTTTCGGCTGGTTAACGCCCCACCCTCCTCCCCCATGTTGTTCTTCCACCGCACGCTGTGCTGCGCAAGTGCTCCAAATGTTTTCATCCGTGCATCTGCCTTCCACATGCCCATATTTGCACACCCCTCACACGGTTCGCGGTCCCATAGGCTCCAATTGAGGACCCAACGTCTCAGAGAGGGGCGGTCCCCCCGGCCTATGTCGGCATACCCCTCACATGTTCCATGGCCCCACCGGGGGGCTCAATTGTGGCGGTCCCCCAGCTAAGTTCGGCAAGCAGCGTGACCACCACACCACAAAGCCAAGTATCCAGAGGGGCGCGAGGGCAGACGAGCGCACGATTGGCGACTCTTCAAGAAAATTGACAGCGTGACAGGAAAATTGAACGCCCCGCGACTGAAACAGAACAATGAAGCGTTCGATTGTGAAGCAGAGACGGACAGCGAAGCGGAGGAGGAACAGGAGGAGAAGAGGAGGAGAGGAAAGATGACGCACATGATTTCGATCAAAAGGGTGCTCAGAGTTTTTGCATCATCTTTTACACTTGTTGCGCCCACTGCCGGGGCCGTCCGCGTCGACGATGCGCCGCCAATTTTTGGGTGCACCGTTTGCTTGGCACACTTTTTTGCGCACCAAAGAATGACTCCCACTTGTTGCGATTTTGCCGTAAAGTTGCATCTGCTTTACAAGGAGAAGATCAGATAACGGTGTTTCGCCAGGTTGCGTCAAAGCCTGCACATTGTTCACTCTCGATATGTACGAATGAGGTATGCCCAAGATCTTGCCTACACATTTGCAGTGAAAGCAATCCAATATGTTCGTGTCTGCTTTGAGAAGCCATAGGGTGTCAAGTATATAAATCCAGAAGCTTGCTGGCAAGACAACTGGAATGTATGTGCAATTTCCTGAGACCGTAATTTTTGCAATGATTTGATTATGCTGGGGCATTCGCCCAATCTTTGAGACAATTCGTTCCCAGCTTTTTGCCATCACATGAGACCAAACCACCTAAATGAATTGCCTCCCTCACGCGTTTAATGGGTTCGCCTGTTGGTCTCCTGACCTCCCCATCGGAAGAAATAGTGTTTAGCTCCGTTTTTTTTCCAATTATATTCAAAGTTATACTTGTGTTTTTCCGCTATGATCGCCTCCAGCATCATCTGCAGATTGTCTGGGTGTTGGGAGACCACTAGCGTGTCATTTGCGTATGGGATGTCGCGGGTGACGGCCTATTCCGGCTCCGCTTGCAGCACCAGTCAGGCCAGGGCGTCGTGCAACATGACAGACTGACCGGCAATGAACAAATTTGGGTTTAGTGGGCACTTTTGGGCAATCCCAGCAAATTGCTTCTTCTCGGCCGATTTCCCACAGCGGTCAACAATTGTAGAATACCGCTCTGCGTAAATACTCCGTATCATGCAACAGTAGGAACCCATGCCAAAAACACATTCGTTTTGCCAGGGTATCTTGGGTTTTGTGTGATTTGCGTTCAGATTGATGGCTTGCAGCGGCCGCAAAGACGTCGCAGCTGGCAGGGCATCCTGAGTGCCTTTGATGTTGGGATGCTTTGCGCGAGCCATCTATGAACCGCCTGGCCCAGGGTATCCTGAGTTTATTCGCTGCCACCGGTAAAGCACGAAACGAAACCCTGGCCTCAGGAACGTTGGCGATTTCCAGGGTTGGATGTCGTGCGATGGATTGTTGTGGACTGGTTTTGACTGTGCCTCACGTGTTTCGTGGACGCATAGGGAGCTCCAGCTATGGCCCCAGGCGGACGGTGCCGTTTGCGGCCCCGATGCCCGTGTGGCCATACCCCTTACACGTCCTTTGGCCGCATAGGGAGTTCAATTCAGGCCCAAGGGGGGGGCGACCGCATACGGTTCTCCAGCCGATGCCGGAGGGGGGGGGGGCCGCATGCGGTCTTCCAGCCCATGCGCGCATACCCCTCACACGTTTCGTGTTTCTACAGGGAGTTCCGACTAAGGCCAATCAGTGGAGGGTAACCGCACGTGCCCTTCCCAGCCCATTTTGGCACACTCACACGTTTCTCCAACTAAGGCCCGGGGGGGAGGGGGGGCACGCCCATTGCGCGACATTGCTCACCTTCTCTTGGCCCCAGAGGAGGCGATTCTACCGAAGACCCCAGGGGGGGGAGGGGGGGAAATCGCATGCGGTTCCCCAGCCCATTTCGGCATACCCCTCGCACATGTCGTGGCCCCATAGGGAGCTCCACCGAAGGCCCCACTGGCACAGCTCGCATGCGTCCCCGAGCCCATTTCGGCACACCCATCGCACGCATCGTGGTCCAATAGGGAGTTCCATGAAAACGATATTCACAAGTGCGGTAGTCACAACTGCATATGGTTGGGTCCTTCGCCTGAATAATTATTGTTTTCAAAAGTGTGTTCCCGCTGCGGCGTTGACCTCATTTCAGGATCGGCGCTTTGTTCCCGTCGTTTAGGATGGTGCTCCCGCCCCAGCGTGCGCTACATTTCTGGATCCGAGTCGAGTCCCTCCTCGTCGTTGTCGCCTCCTCTGTTCCCTCTGCCTGCCCCTTGTCCTCCTACTCCCGCTCCTCCTGCTCGTGCTGCTGCTGTTTCTCTTCGTCCTTCTGCCTCATTTGTCTCTTCGTCCTGCTCATCTGCCGCCTCCTCCACCTCCTCTAATGCACACAGCACAGCTTCGATTTCTTGCCCCTTCCCCTTCTACAGTTACACAATATGAGTACTATTCTCCTCTCTCCCCTAATGACGTCCAGAAGATATCCGGCCCCCTCCGCGTGTTGTTCTTTACACACTGGATTCCCGGGAGTCGGGTTTTCGCTTGGTTTTTGTTTCAAACATGTTGTTCCCGCTGGAGCGTTGGCCTCATTTTCGGGCTTCCGGGCTTCCTTCGTTCCGAATCGTGCTCCCGCTTCAGCGCTAGCCTCATTTCTGCGCTTCCGCTCGTTCCGAATCGTGCTCCCGCTGCAGCGTTGGCCTTCCTTCCAAATAGGCCCCCAAATCTAGAAAATGCCACCCCGTAAAACCATTGGAAGTGATTCCACATTCGGTGTCGATTCGTTGATTCTGGGGCTCCAGAAGCCCCCACTGTGGAGCGTCGTCGCTTCAGGAAGTATCAAGCGGGGGCCGAGTTTCTGCTTTGAGAAAGCAACGTTGAAAGCAGAGCCAGCGGGTGCTCTCCATCAGCCCCGTCTTGTGTGGAGCTTTTCGGGGAGCCCAAGGAGCGAGACATGGAGCCACGACTCCAAACCGGCCCAGGCTTCTCAAAAACGATCCATTTATTTTCCGCGGAACTTGGCGCCATGCTTTGACATGTTGTGCGGTGTTGTATTCTGCGCCGTTGTGCGATGCCATGTTTTGCGTTGCAATGCTGTGTGATGCAATGCTTTATAGCGCAACGCCACGCCATGCTATGGCATGCTGCGCTCTGCCGTGCCCTTCCACGCCATGTCATGCCGTGTTCTACCATGCGTCGCGTACCTGCTCGCGATGATTGCCCTGCTCGGCATCCGACGGTGCGAATCGAGAGGGTACTTGCGCCATGGTACGGGATGAGGGGGAGGGGTAGGACGTCAGGTATGACGCGAGCGCACCTAGCTTGCCTCTCCTCCCGCCCCCTTCGCCCTTTTCTTCTCCCTTCCCTCCCCCCTTCCCCCCGGCCCCTCTCTCCTCATCCCCTTTGCCCTCCCCCCCCCTTTTTTTCCCCCCTGCTTCCTCCCTCCCCCTCCCCCACCCCCCAGGCCCTGCCCCTCGCCCTTCCCCCAGCCCTTCTCTGCCCCTGTCACATGGGATCATCGCCCAGCTTATGGGAGGGTACGACCAACGCGTGTTACGATATGCAAAACATGGTGCTAAATGGCACAGCATTTTGCAGAGGGTTCATAGTATAGAACGTTGTGTTGAAGCGTTGCTGGTGACCCTTTCAACCGAATCGAAATTTGATATGCACGTGCAGTGGCAGTGCGCCGTGAGGCTCAGTCGCGATCGATCGAGCCAGTTCATGTTTTATGTGGTGGCGCATGTGGACATCATATGCCATCGGAACCAGGGGGAGCACGGTTTGGGGACATTGTAGCGTAGTTTGAGATTGCATTGGCTCTTGCCAGGACGCATGCGATTGTTTTGTTTGAGGAAGGACACCTTGTGGAGGCCATCGTAGAGCACGAAAAGTTCAGAGTCCTATACGCCGCTCCGTTTGCGATCGGTGAGGGTTGCCTTGATGTCAACCAGAGCTTGCTCTCAGCCTAAGACAGAGCTCTCAGCCTGGACTAAATCTTTTTTGATCGGCGTTTCACTTATCGATTCGGGCAGACTTACCTTGGCCAGTTATCATACTGTCAGGGGCAAGGTTGTTGCTGCACACACGGCGCCATTGGTTGACAGAAGGCCTGCGCTGTTCACATATGTGAAACCACTCGCGGAACAGTCAAGTCTAAGTCAGGCGGGAGCAAGTTCAAGCAAACTTCACCCAGGCTAAAAAAAAACAAAACCAGTCCCAGTCGTAGCAGTAGTCGTATTAGAGCAGAGCGAAGCCAAGCCAGGTCAGCCCATGCTTAGCAAGGCTAACTTAAAGCTGTTTCCACACCAGGAGCTACAAGGCAGCTTACCCATACATCCACATCTCGAAGCTAAGGCCACAGCCGACGCTAGGCTGAACTAAGCCAAGCTACTGCACGCCACGTCAAGCCAAGCTAAGCTAAATCAAGCGAGGGCACCCCCCAAAGCAAGCTTGGCAACCCCACGCTAAGCTACACCGCCACATCGCACCCAGCTTTGTCCAGCTGAGCCAAGGTCAGCTCTGACAGTGCAGCCTCACGTAGCGAGGCGGCCCTAAATGGCAAAGCGTTGTTAAGGTACATTTAAGCGGCATCGAACTTATATGGTGAAGCTTGAACAAAGGCCACAGATAAGGCCAACTAGAGCTCTATATTCAGATGTACGTTGAAAGTGCTTTAAGTGCAGCTGCAATTGCAACTCTTGGCCAAGTAAGGCGATGTTAAGCCAATTGCGATGTTAACCATCACGCCTATGCTAAGTCAGGCCAGATTCGACTAGGGCCAGTTCGGGCTTAGGCACAGCAGTCAATGTGGGTACCACTATATAATTGAAGTCAACGTGATTGGCGCAGGGATGATCAAACGCAGCAGCATAATGATATGCACACCCATAGTCAGGGGCATTTCCATACGCATGGTCATGCATATTCCTTTTTGCCATGAGGTGGTCGTGGCCACGGCTCTCCCATCGATTCAGCAATATTTGTTGCGACCGGTATGTAGACAAGCTCATTTAGAGACAGGGTCGTTGCATGTGGCGCCGTTGAAGTATGTACGCACGAAGTCATGCGGCACCTCAAGTCCAACACATTCGTGATTCAAAAGAGCAGGTCCTTAGAACGGCGCCGCGTTGGAAAGCGTACGTGTGCTCGAGAATTTCAGCTTTGCCCGCCCGGAGGAAACCAAGCCTCTGAACGGCGGCAAAAGCACAGAAGTTTCTTCCCAGTACGAGAAGATCGAGCAAAAGAAGGCTGCCCTCGTTCCTCCAGCACGCTCCTCCAGCGCATATACTCAGGCAGCCTTTGTGCTCGTCTGCCTTTCCGCCGTCGACCCTGTCCCTGCTGTCCTTGCTGTGCTGCTTGCATTTGGTGCTGCCGGGCCAGGCGGGCCTGGGCGCTTCCAGCTGCTCAGGATTCGACAAGGGGTGTAACCAGCCCTGGCCCTAGCTGCGATTGTTCTAAAGCTGTAGCCAGCCCTACAAGGGTTCTTGTGAGCCGTAGGCAGCCGCAGTAGGATTCTATTGGAGCTTCTGCATGCCCTAGTAGGATTGTCCCAGACCTGAAGCCAGTTTAACTAGAGCTGCAGCCAGCGATATTCGGATTCGATTCGATCTGTACCAGCCATGGTTAGATACCATTCGAGCTGCACGCAGACTCACGTGAAGTTGCCTTTCGGTGCAGGCCACACAGAAGTTGCGGCATATATTCCCAAGTCTTCCTTAAGAGAGCGCATTCGTTTTGTGTATGAAGCCGGTCTGTTATCGCGCCGTGTTTTTGTGTTTGGGGGGGGCGTTCTCCCTTGGGGTTTGGGGACGACTCCTGCCCTTTCAAGGTGGCAGCTGGGGCCCAAGAGTGACCTTCCATATTTGTTGTTGGTCTTTTTGTCCTTACCGTTGTCGTGTTTTTTGTCGTGTAATCACGTTATACGTTACCATTGCCTATATACGAATATAGGGTTCTTGTTGTAATGTGGTGCCTCCGCCTCCCGCTCCCGCTCCCATTTCTCCTCCTCTCTCGGACTCACTCATACATAGGCTCACTCGTATTGAGACTCAATCGCATTCACATTCACTCACACTCATACTCGCTCACACGCAGTCTCAGCCACTCACACTCATGTCCCAGTCCCCGCCGCTCACACTCACATCCACGAATTAATATTCAGTCCATTCAAATTCAGACTCCCTTACATTCAGTTCACTCATATTCGGACTCACCCACACTCAAACGCATACACCTGGATTCGTCGAGCAGGCGGGGGCCGTGCTACTGCGCCGTCCCTTTGCACGCTGAAGCGGACTGTCGTACAGATCAGGTGCCTTTCCCCCCCTCCTGTTCCCTGTTCCTCCCCTCTCGTCCCTTCTCTGTCTGCACCTGGCACGCCGAGGCCTTGTTCGCCTCTGTCAAGACAGACTCTTGGAGGGCATCAGCACTAGACGCTACATATTTCAGTTTTTGTCAAACACACGATATCGTTACAGCACAGGAAACGCACGGGCATGAAGGGGACACTGTTGAGCTTCAGCGCCAGCTGCCTGGGCACGTGTTCGGGTTTTACTTTTTCGCGGATTCCGTGCGCGATGGAGGGATTATTGCTGCGGTCTCAGCCGATTTCGCCTCTCGCCTCTCTTCTATCCTACATACTACTCTGGTCATTGGGCGTGTCTTGAAGAGTACGTTCTTGGGGAATTCTGGCAACTCGATTGTGTACAATGTCCACTTGCCCAACACCTTCGGCCCGCTCGCTTTCTGTTCAGGGGTTCTGAAGATTGTGCAGCAGGATTTTGCTCGCCACTGTGCAGGTGGCTCTGACTGTGCGGCTCCTGGTCTCTTTCTGGGAGACTGGAATTTTGCCTTGGAGGAGGAGGGGAAGTTTGCTGGAGGTGGGAGTGGGTTCGCTGCTGGCGACGTTTCGCACACACGTGTTTTTACTCGCTACCTTCCGCACCTCACTGAGATTTACCAGGGTTTGGACACTCGTCGGGGGAGGGGGAGGAGAGGGATGGCCGTCGATAGAGCATCCAGGATCGACCGTATTTGTTCGTCCCTTCCTCCCGCCTTTATCCGCGACCTTACTATTACGACCTCAACGATTGGGTTCTTGAGGTTTGCGATGCCGATTGATCACATTCCCGTGAAGGCAGTCTTCGAATCGTATCGTCCCGACTTTGGTTACATTTGCATCCCGCCCTGGGTTGCGAGGGTGGCCGAGTTTGGACAGGATTTTGACGACTTTCTTTCACAGATTCCTGAGGACTGGGATGACTGGACGAGGCTTGCGGCTACTAAAACTTTTGGTTTCGAGACTGGGAAGGCCGCGCGACGTGCTCCTCGCAGCCGGAAGGCTAAGACGAAACACGATCAGTACGACTGGGCACAACACGCTCTCCGTGCTGTGCAGACGGGGGAGACCGCTCGCATCCAGCTTGTAATTTAGTGCTACCCGAGGCTCAGCGTGCACTTCGATGCTTGTTTCAACTGCTATCACCTTCGCGGGCTTTCTCAACATGGGTTCCATTTGTATCGGCAGATCTTCGATGAGGAGAAGCAGGAGGTTCAGCGTTCCAACGTCGACGACGCTACGAAACGCTCCCAGGCGACCCGTTTACGTCGTCGCAAACTTCTCTGGCAAAAATTTCGGAGGCGCACGGTCTTGGGCTCTGTTGTCATTTCCGAGGTTGCACCCGTTGGCTCCAATGCCGAAGCGGCTCGTGTTCTTGGTGATCATTGGGCTGCGGTATTCCCTGCTCCTGAGGTTGACACGACTAAGTGGAATGACCTTTTCCCCCCCCCACATCAAGGAGTCGGGGGGTCCGATTAACCGTGATTGGATCTTGCACAACCCTGAATGGCATGATATGGTTTTACGTCGTACGCACAGCACTCCTGGTCCTGATGGGCTACCCTATGATGCTTGTAAACACCCATGCGCGTCCCGCCTCCTCTTTTCCTGCTATCTCGCCCTCTTCGACGACCGCGCATCCACCCTTCCCGATGACATGTCATGCAGTCTGATGGCCTTTCTCCCGAAGGGCGCGGGCCCGAACGATGCACCGAATACGCGTCCGCTCAGCTGGGGCAATGCAGGTGGCAAGCTGTTCGCCGCTGCCTGCATCTCGCCCGCGGTTGCCAACGCCTCGCACCTCGTCGGGCCCGAGCAGGAGTATGTTGCAGGGAGGGGCACGATCGAGAACGTGGTCAAGGCAGAGGCGTGGGGGTGATGAGGCACATGAATGACGACAAGCACTCGGCAATTCTTCTCGACGGTTTTGCTTCTGCCAGCTTGTCGCAGAGTTGGATATTCTTTGTCTTGCGCGCGATGGTGATCTTCTCCCACATTTTTCCAGTCCTTTGCTGTGGTGCGTGCTTCGAATACAGCTATTACCACTGTTGGGGGCCAACGCTTCCACTCGATCGATGTCCGCTCAGATGTTAAACAGGGATGCCCCGCCTCCATGTTCCTCTTCGTGCATGTTGTTCGCCCCTCTCCTGGGCTGGGTCCGACATAGGTGCTCCGCCTCCCTTGGCCTCCACCTCGCCTGCGCCGGTGATGTTTGATTTGGGGTGTTGAACGTGCTATCCGATCAGGGTATGCTCCTCTCTGCGTTGATGGAGTTGGCGCCCATTGCGAATCTGCAACTCAACTTTGGGAAGCGCCAGCTCATGATGCGTTGTGTCGCGGGGGGCGCCTGTCTTACTGCTGTCTTGGAGACTTATGGTGCAGCATTTTCTGCGTTGAAGGTTGCGCATTGGGCCGTGTATCTCGGGTTTCCGATCGGGCCCCTCACGGCCGCTGAAGCGCGGCCGACTGTGATTCCAGGATGCATCTTCCGTGTGCACCAGACGCGACAACTCGGCCTAGGCATTGCGCAGAGCGCGCGTGCATTCCGCGCCATGTGTGTCTCGAAGCTGCTCTTCCGACTGCAGCTCTATTCATCAAGTGCTTGCCTTTCGCATTTGCCCCGTGAGAGCGGTGGAACCCACCGCAGTGCCGCGAACGCCACCTAGTTTAACATTGCCACTATGTTGAAAGCGATGCCCCCCCCCCTCCCCCTCCCCCCCGACCGAGATTACCGACCTGAGCGCTGTCGCTCGAGCCGCGCTGCGATGCGCTATTGCATCAAGTCTGGGTGCCCCCACGGCATCTTGGAAGACCTCGACGGGGCCCGCGATGACCTCGAACGCGTTCTTTACCGTTGGCATAGAGGTTGACATGGGCATCGCTTTCTGGGATAGATTCGCTCCGTTCGCGATTGGTACTCTAGGCTGTCTGTCGGTGTCTCGTCTGGCTCGTCTAAGCTTCAATCTAAGCCGCGCACCCACTTCAGGTCGATTGAGAGCTCGGCGCCCGCTCGGGAAACACTTCCCCGCAGAGCACGTCACTTTTGCCCCGAGGTTGGCATGAATCAGACCGAGATCATGCGTGAGAACGTCCGTCGCGTTTGCCGCGCGTCGTCGATGCATCTGGGAGTGGCAGCCCTGAGAATGCTGACAGGCTCGATTTGCAGGAGCGCCCGCATCCGCACCTCACCTCGTGGGTGCCTGTTTTGTTGCGGCGAGTCAGGTTGCGGCGACGCTGGCTCTTTAGGCCATTGCTCTCACTGTCCTCGCCTCGAAGCATTGTTGGAAAGGTGGGTGGGGCGCGCGTCATGCGCGCGTCGAGGTGAGATGAGCACGCGCCGGCTTCCTCCCTGCCCCCCCCCCCCCCCCCTCGCGTTTGATAGCGTGTCCGCTATTTTGAAACGCGCCGCCTGCATGGGTGCCTTTCTGCGCGCTCTCAACGCGCGCCGCCTGTCGCACTCCGCTGCCCCCGAGCTAGTGTTCGAGGCTCGGCTGAGGGCCGCCTCGGCGGCGCCCGAAGCCCGCGGCAGCTTGGGGCGAGGCTGGCGTCTTTCGTTCTCGTCATCCTGGCGAGGCTGGCTGCCCCCAGAACCGAAGCGCTGCTGCGGTGGGGCCCCGGCGCCCCTCGAGGCAGGTGGGGGCTTCCCGAGTTTGCGCCGCAGTCTCCTCGCCAGATCCGAGTTTGCACTGCTCGGCAAACTCGCCGACCGCCTTCAGCAACAAACTATAACAACACAGCGAGAACTGTTATATATATATATATATATATATATATATATATACATGAATTCGCTAACGCCAGGATTCACTCACACTCAGATTCCAAAGCGTTCAGAATTCTTGTCGCTTCACGTATCCCCGCCAGCTTGGGCGTTCCTCCGTGGCTCCACCACGCTGCCGCGACCGCGAC